TGCCTGCCACAATGTGGTCGATCAAGGACGGTGTTATCAGCGCCGTCTAACACCAGGTTCAACACAGTCTTGCTACATGGTAACGTAGCCAGTGGAATCGTGGCCTCCGCGTCGACTCCTCGGCCAAGCCGACGCCTTCAACCTGAAAAGACGATGATTTCTTTCATGGGGCTGTGTTCTCGTCATTTTCCGCGAGGGTGTCGGACAACAATTACGACCGCGTGTTTTGGTGAATCTTTCTCGCCTGACGCACGCGCACGAATGAGTGACCGGTGATGGGAGGCGCCGCTTCAGACGACCAGCTTTCCTCCTCGCTCATGTTTGCGGCTCATGCTGCGACTACTATGTATATTCCCACCCAGTGGTGCCAAGCCATTATTAGGCGTGTACATGGGCAGCGTGAACAAGTCATGACTACATCATAATATGGGAACGGACTAGGGACGTTGGAAGGTTACATACAATGTGGAGATATAGATTTCGACACGCACACATTCCTACCTCCCGATTCGCCTCGCTCAGTGGGCTATCTTCAAGCTGCAAAATTTCCCCCGCTCTAATCACCGGCATGCTCGCTTTGACCTCCCTCTTCGACGAAGCTCAGGCCGCTGCTGTGGTTCATGGTGGTCGGTGAGGTTCAAGAAACTACTTCGGGCTCTGAATTAGAATGCTTAAAGTCGAGTCCAATTGTATCTTCGTGGTCGGCTCCCACATTGGCACCTGACGAACTATCTCGACATCAAGACCTCTCGAGACGATGCAACCATTCGGGGATCAACTTGGCGATGCAATGGCCAAGTGCTGGCGAATCATGGAAAAATCACGGGGGCCAAGCATATGGAGCGCGTCGTAGTATGTTTTCCTTCAACAAACTGATTTAGGAGAAGGGTCGTCGCCCAGCCGTTCAGTGCGCATCGACAACGATTCATTGAGATTGTTCAAACGAGAAGCCTTCCCAGGATCACCGTCCGGAGTGATCTGTACCGCGTCCTGTAGCACGGTAACCGACCTGCGAATATCCGCCGCGTCATTCAGTCGCTTGAAGCGCATCGACAGCGCGTAGCCGAGATTGTTCAAGTATCGAGGTTTTCGAAGGTCGTGATCAGGAGTGAGATGTACTTCTTCTTCTCGCACCGAAACCAACCTATGAAGGTCCGCCACATCGTCCAATTTTCTGAAGCGGAGCAATAGTGAGTCGCCGAGGTTATCCAGATAAGTGATCTTTCCGGGTTCGCTGTCAGATTTCATCTGTACAGCATTCTCCAGTAGGGAAATCGACTTGTGTATGTCCACGATGTCGCGCAGCTTCTTGAAGCGCATCATAAACGCGTAGCCGAGGTCATTCAAATATCGAGATCGTGCAGGATGGTCAGCGGGCGCGAAGCGTACCATGTCTTCTCGCACCGAAACCAGCCTGTTAATATCTGCAACTTTATTGAGCTGCTTGAAGCGTGTGGACAGCGAGCTGCTGAGATTGTCTAAACGAACATGTTTGGCAACATCGCCATCAGGAGTGAGGCGAACAGAGTCCTCTCGCACCGAAACTAATCTATGAAGGTCCGCGATATCGGCCAGCTTCTTGAAGCGGAGCGATAACGAGTCACCGAGGTTATTTAGGTACGTGATCTTTCCGGGTTTGCTGTCAGGTGTCATCTGTACGGCATCTTCCAGGATGGAAATCGACCTGTGTATGTCCGCGACGTCGTGCAGCTTCTTGAAGCGCATCATAAATGTGTAGCCAAGATCGTTCAAATATCGAGATCGTGCAGGATGGTCGTCGGGCACGAGGCGCACCATATCTTCTCGCACGGACACCAATTTGTGAATGTCTGCAACTTCATCAAGCCGCTTGAAGCGTGTCGAAAGCGAGCTGCTGAGGTTGTCTAAACGAACGTGTTTGGCTGCATCGTCATCAGGAATGAGGTGTACTGCATTTTCGCGCACCGCTATCAACCTGTGAAGGTCCGCGAGTTTATCTAGCTCCTTGAGGCGGAGGGACAACGAATCACCGAGGTTGTTCAGGTACGTGGTCTTTCCAGGTTTACTGTCGGGTGTCATCTGTACAGCATCCTCCAGAGCTGAAACCGACCTGTGTATGTCTGCGATGTTATGCAGCCGCTTGAAGCGCATCATGAATGCGTAGCCAAGGTTGTTCAGATATCGAGGTCGCGCAAGATGGTCGTCAGCGACGAGGCGCACCGTATCTTCTCGCACCGAAACCAGCCTGTTAACGTCCGTGACTTCATCAAACTGCTTGAAGCGCATCGACAGTGCGTCGCCGAAGTTGTCCAGACGAATGTGTTTGGCAACATCGCCATCAGGAGTGAGGCGTACTGAATCTTCCCGCACCGAGGTCAACCTGTGAAGGTCTGCAGCATCGTCCAACTTCTTGAAGCGGAGCGATAATGAGTCACCGAGGTTGTTTAGATAAATGATCTTTCCGGGTTTGCTGTCAGGTGTCATCTGTACAGCATCTTCCAGGATGGAGATCGACTTGTGTATGTCCGCGACGTCGTGCAGCTTCTTGAAGCGCATCATAAATGTGTAGCCGAGATCATTCAAATATCGAGGTTGTGCAGGATAGTCGACGGGAGCGAGGCGCACCATATCTTCTCGCACAGAGACCAACTTGTGAATGTCCGCGACTTCGTCAAGTCGCTTGAAGCGCGTCGACAGTGAGCTGCCGAGATTGTCCAAACGAATGTGTCTAGCAGCATCGCCATCAGGAGTGAGGCGTACTGAATCTTCCCGCACCGAAACCAATCTATGAAGGTCCACGACATCGTCCAGCTTCTTGAAGCG